TATCCCCCACTCATAGTTCCCTTTGGAAATAGTTTCTCTTTTACAAATTGTCCTCTCATGGAGATGTTTTATTAATAATTTTAGGGGGTACATTTTTTGTCTTTCGATTTTGGGCTAAACCCCCGGGTCGATTTTATAATGAACTCAGAAAGGGTGTGATTGTTTATAAATTCAACTAGTTTTTGTTTGGTTTGGTTTTAAATATAGTTAATTTTGAAAAAAAGTAGTATAGTTAGTTGTTAGTGGATATATTAAATTAATATTTAAATAAAATAATTAAAGTTGGTTTGATGTAAAGTAGGAGAAAAATGATTGGAAGTGATGGTTAGTTAAAATTATGTGAGTGGATGAATAGTGAATTAAAGTGGATGTGATGTGTAAGAATGATTGGTGGTATTATTTAATTATATTGATAAAATTGGAGATAGTGGGGTTGAGTTAAAGTTGAGTTAAATTTGAGTTTTGATTGATTTTTTTTACTGTTGAAACAATATCCAATCGCCCCCTAAATCTTTGTTGCGAAGTTAGCCTAATTCCATACCATCACAATAACATGACAAGTGGAACAAGCAAGTGACCCTTCACATGCCCCTGCAATTTACGAACATTCTTTAGAAAGCTCGGTAGGCTTTGATGAATCAAGACTTAAAATATACTTTTTATTAACTTGATACATGAAAATAGTCATTTGAATAGTAATAGCACTTCAACAGTTCAACTAATACCTGAAAAGGGTAAAAATGGAAGCTTACCTTCAAGTTCTATGTCATTCTCATGTGCAGCTTCTAGCATCGACATTCCAACTGGAACCTTAATATGTGTCTCTTCCCCGTCTTTGTCAACGAATGCCACTTTTATTCTGTAAAGTCGAAATAATGAGCAGATATAAATATATAAAATTAAGATAGCCTACTAGATCACGTGCCACTTGATATACCTTTGGCAATTCCACCAAAGTAGGGTTCAACACAGCTACTTGAAATAAAGAAAAAGCGAGAAAATGCGTAGGTTGAAGGACTTCTCATTTCTTTTATATCAAACATTTAGTGGACAAATGGAAGCAAGACTCAGAAGCTCAAGAGACTTACTTTTCATTTGTTTCATTTTCGTCATCAGAGTCCACTTTAGCAGCCGCACAGCTGTACAAGTCATGTCTCTGAAAGCACACACACAGATAGAAATGAGAAAATCGGTTTTAAGTTTTACGCTTGAGCACATAGAAAGAAAAGAAAACGGGAGCATGTAGTATTCTCACAAATTCGATCCTCAAACCACAATAATAGAAAAACCTTAACAGCACAAACGGATGTAACTACTACATCTCTCATACCATTTGTGTGTGTGAGTGTGTGTTCTTTCTCAGAGTGAACTTGAAAAATTAACAGGCTTGCTAATTCTTCTGTGTTTACTTTAACATGTTTGGACAAACAAAGGTTATAAATGTATACTGGCAGTTCTTTACTACTACACACTTTTGTTCTCTATAGACCTTACCTAGCCTGAGTTTTACAAGTCCACAAAAAAATCGTTAGAAAAAAGTGCAAAACGCTTCATGCGCGCCCATAAATTTTTCCCATTTACTTGATGAAGACAAAATTCACCATAACCAATGCACAATCCCAACAAGAAAAAAAAAATGTAATATAAATCAATTTTTACCCCCACAACAATTGCTATGTTGAATGTTAAAAATGTACTAACCAGGACCCGAAGACACTGATTATGTCCCACAGGGGAATATGAATACCTTTGTGCAAGTCTTGGAGCTGCAATAGAGAGAGAGAAAAAAAACAAAAAAAAACAAAAAACAAAAAACAAAAAACAAATTATCGCAAAAGTGCAGGAACAAAACCCCACCAAAGCAAAGAGATTATTAAACTGTATCTTTTTCAATCATTGTCAGGGACAACTAATCTTCTCACAGACAATGCTGTAATCAAAGACAAAACATATGCAGAAAAATTACGATCAATACAACACCAAATATATAGGAGAACTTACATGTGCCTTCACTTTAAACACTAAACTACATCGTCAGATTATGAAAGTAAGCAGCAATACATTTTAGTTTCAGCTTTCAAAGTAGACTAAATAGTTAAGTAGACTTATAAACGGTGTCATGATACAGACCTTTTACCAAAATCTTGGTTGCATGTGCTCCTAACTGATAAAGCCTGGAAATGAACATAGTCGTTCAACCTGAGAAGTCCCCAAAACGAAAGGAAAATAATTAACGAGCAACTCGAAGGGGGAACTACACTTACTACAACTCCATAAACACAACATCACTTTTCGAACCAGGCTTGCTTGATTGTTTAATTTTTCACCTCAGCTTCCCATAACTCAAACTCCACTCAACTAAGAAAAAATATGCACATACTACAAAATAAACCCTAGTTGCAAAGACGGTACACAACAAGCACATATATAACAGTAAATTCACCTCCAGGAGACTTGTTTTGCAAAAATTTCATCAACCCTTGGCCAAAACACACAACATAATACAATTATATTATAGATTTGTCATTTTGATTCCTTTCTTTTTAATAAAAAAACTAAATGTTCAGGAAACACGATGGATTTTCAAATGGAAACAAAAACTTCTCCACTCAGAGTCACATGGGCTTTTCTCAAAATCGAATCTTCGGACAGATGAATTCGCCAACATAACCAAAAAAGCTCAATCGACTTTCAAAATCATATCGTCTCTCATTAAAATTACGAAATGCAAACAGATTTACTCTAAGATCAAAACAAAATAATTAAAAAAGAAAGGATAAGACGAAACTTTACGCAAGTAGTTTCGGTTTGTGTTCGAGAATAATATTACCTGGAATAGCCGCCGAAATCCAAAAATCGCGGCGGTAAGTTGGAGCAGACGGAGGCGTCGACTCCACGCAGAAATGAAACTCAACGAGCCTAAGCCGAGTAATCGGGTGAGCTGAGGAAGGTCATCCAATCCAATACGGCGTCGCTTCAGGGCTTAACACTAGAAAGGAAAGGTATCAAAGAACTTCTATGGGCCAATTTGTGCTCCAAACATAATGGGCTCAAACTAAAATATGCCTGGGCCCAATAGTTTGGGCCCAATTTGTGATTTTGTGGATATTTTCCTTTTTTTTTTTTTAATAGATTTTCAGATATTTATTCTTGATGGTTTTGAGTAGGAAATCATTGAACTTTTTTCCAACAATTCCACATAAATGGTAGAATTATGGTAAGATTCAAAAGAAGCCCGACTACAGTGTTACCCTGATCCAGGAGGACGTTAAAAAATGTTGGAAAGTCGATGTGAGCTACAAGAAGGCATGGCACGGGAGGAAAAAGGCCATCGATAGTTTGTATGGCACTTGGGAATCGAACTTCGCCGAACTCCCTCAGTAAGAAAAAATTTATTAAAAATGTACGTGTTATATGTCACTATATTTATGTATTGACGATTACGTTTTGTAACGTGCAGGTTTTTTGCGGCGCTTCAAAGAGCGAATCCCACTACGGTTGTAGAGTGGGAATGGCAAGGTGGGGAAATGGCGGCCTACTATCAGCACAGAGAGTTCAAATTTGTTTTTTGGGCATTTGGTCCCGCCATTCAGACCTTCCGGAGATGCCCGCCGGTAATTAGCATGGACGGCACACATTTGCGTGGCTCGTACAAGGGGAAGTTGCTCGTGGCCGTTGCACAGACTGCGAATAAGCGGCTATTGCCAATCGCCTATGCGATTGTCGATGAAGAGAGCCAGGAAAGCTGGTCATTTTTCCTGACAAATCTCCGGCAACATGTTGTCGGCGACAGACAGATATGCTTTCTTTCGGACAGGGATGCGGGCTTACAAAGTGCCGTGGATTCATTGGAAGCTTGGCAAGAACCCGCTGCATATCACCGGATTTGTCTTCGACACCTTCGGAGCAACGTGGTTACTAGGTACAGGAATAACAAAATCCGAAATTGGTGTTGGGAGTTGGGTTCACAGGTTTCAGAGAAAAAATTTGAACAGATACGATCGCGGCTTTGGGATTGTAATCCGGACGCATACAATTACTTGTTCAAAATTCCTCTGGACAAGTGGACCCTGTTTGGAGACGGTGGACGTAGATGGGGTACTTTGACAACTAACATGTCCGAGAGTTACAACAACGTCCTGAAAGGTGTTAGGTTCTTGCCCTGCCGAGCTTTGGTACACGCCACATTCATGAAAACTCTGGACTTGTTTGAGCAGGAACAGAAGAAGGCCACGAGATGCAGTAATGCCATTGCTAGTGTCCACTATGCCGCTTATTGCGAATTGGAGAGTACGGCCGCAACTCATACGGTGCGATGTTCGAACGCGGAGAGATCCCTGTACAAGGTGACAACCGGTCTACGGGCTGATGGTAGAGG